TTTTTTTTTTTTTTTTGCAAAGGAAAAAAGAGTAGAGGTTGAGAGGAAGAAGAAGGAGAAGAAGACTAGGAAGCAAGAAGAAGAGGAGGAAGAAATAGTAGGTAAGGAAGAAGCAGAAGAGGGAGTGAGTTCGGATGTGAGGAAGCGAGAGGGACAGAATTGAGCAGAGAGAGGGGAAGCCAAAAAAAAAACACCCCCTCGCCGAGAGCTTTCCTCTCGAGTAAATCAAACTTCTTTGCCGAAGGAGGAAGCCCGCGCCCCGTCCTCTCTGGATTCGGCTTCCAAAATCATCCCGAAAGAAGTCCGCTCGCTGCTCGACGTCTGCCCGAATCGCTGAAGATCGCTGAGGCGCGGGATTTCGGCCGAAATGCAGATCTCATTTCATCTAAGCCGTCGAAGAAATTTCCTGATCAAGGAAACGAATTCAAAATATTTGGAAAGTCAAATGGTTTTTAATGGGATCAAATTGGGCTGAATCAGATTAATTTGGGTTAAGATCAGGTTAGGCTCGAGTTCGAACTTGACTCGATTTGAATCAAATTGGGTTCAACCCGGCTCAATAAAATTGATCAAATGGAATTGAATTCAATTTAAATAAAATAGAGTGAGGCGCTACCAAAATAAAATGATCGAGTCTAATTGAACGTAGTTGGGTCTAATCCGGCTCGCGTAGAGTCAATTCGGGCTCAAATTAAACACGACGAGGCTCAATTAAATTGATCGAAGCTCCCCGAGGCTACTCGAACGAAAAATGAGGTCAACAAACGGACCCCCAACATATGCGGCGAACAACAAGTGAACCGTATATGTTGGCGTTGACCTACCTAACTACAGGGAGATGCAACTCTCGGGTCAACTAATGGAACTAAATTAATAATGAGAGAGATTCAAAGAAAGCAGCTCAACCATCTGCCCAACCAAAGTGACAGAATAGGAGAAGGAAGACTCATGTTCACATGAGCAGAATTGAAACAAGATCACAAAGAAAAAGTCAGAGGGTATGTGAAAAGGAGATCAACTATCACCCGACCATCAGTCTAGCGGTGAAGTGAAGAGGAAAGAGAGCACCCTCGCTCGGCCATAGGCCTCGAAACCTCAAGGTTCCTACCCGATCATAGGTCTGTCGGTAAGAACAGTCACCCGACCATAGGTCTGCCGGTGAAAAAGAAGGAAAACACCCTCACTCGGCCATAGGCCCCGAAATAGTGAGGTTCCTACCCGATCATAGGTCTGCCGGTAGAAGAACAGTCACCCGACCATAGGTCTGCCGGTGAAAAAGAAGGAAAACACCCTCACTCGGCCATAGGCCCCGAAACAGTGAGGTTCCTACCCGACCATAGGTCTGCCGGTAGAAGAACAGTCACCCAACCATAGGTCTGTCGGTGAAAAAAAAGAGCACCCTTGCTCGGCCATAGGCCCCGAAACAGCAAGGTCCCTACCCGACCATAGGTCTGTCGGTAAGATAAAGCGAAAACTCAACAACCCCCTAACAGGTAAAAAAGGAAACAGGGGGAATGAAGAGGTGGTGAAGTATACCCCTAAGGACTCTGTCGGGTAACCAACCAAAAAACCCGATGTCCACCCGACCATAGGTCTGTCGATGGGACAAAATGGGAAGCTCAACATCTATCCGGCCATGGGTCTGTCGATAGGATGAAGAGAAAAGATCAATCTTTGCTCGGCCATAGGCCCCGAAACAGCAAAGTCTCTAACCGACCATAGGTCAGTCGGTAGAATAAAGGTAAGCTCAACAATCACCCAACCATAAGTCTGTCGGTGAAGCGAAGGAAAGAAAGCACATCTGCTCGGCCATAGGCCCCGAAACAGCAAAGTCCTTACCCGGCCATAGGTCTGTCGGTAGGATGAAGAGAAACGATCCACCTTTGCTCGGCCATAGGCCCGACAGCAAAGTCTTTACCCGGCCATAGGTCTGTCGGTAGAATAAAGGGAAGCTCGACAATCACCCGACCATAGGTCTATCGGTAAAGTGAAGGAAAGAAAGCACCTCTGCTCAGTCATAGGCCCCGAAACAGAAGAGTCCCTACCCGGCCATAGGTCTGTCGGTAGAACAAAGTAGAAAAGAGGACAATCACCCGACCATAGGTCTGTCGGTGAAGAAAGAGAGCACCCCCGCTCGGCCATAGGCCCCAAAATAGCGAAGTCCCTACCCGACCATAGGTCTGCCGGTAGGATAAAGCGGGAACTCGACAATCCCCCAGCGCACACGTGCGTGGTGATGTGAGAAAAATGAAGAGATAAGTAATTCATCATCTAAGAAATCTTAAGCTCATATTTTAGTTACCACATGGTAGAGGATAAATCGTCGTGGCCATGAGTAATTAAAGTACAAGTAAAATTTTCTTAGGTAAATTGAAATCATACAACATGAAGTAGTCGATTGATATATATCTCTCTAAAAAGAGTAACATATAAACAACCTAATGGAAAGAATAATCTCACACTAAAGAAGGGATACTATAAGTGGCGAAGGGACATACTTGCCACTAAGAGTTATAATCATATAAGTGATCAATAATCACTAAAAGAATCACAGCGGTAATACCCATGCTAACTGATGGGACCCTGTGAGAAGTGCAAGCAACATCTATGCATTTAAAGATATCACTTTTTTTTAGCTAAAAGCAATGTTTCAATGAGAAATTATATCATTTGAAAGAAGTAGCGGATCGACTTTCTGCTAGAAGATCAAAATCCACTATAAAGTGATGTTAACATCTAGAGCCAGATGTACCACATCACAAGTAAGGGAGAACAACATCCCATTAAAAATGAACAACCATAATCGAAGAAATGAACGTACAGTCATCTCCTACATAATCATCGAAATGCTTTAAGGAGAGACCGAAGAGAATTTGGAGGAACTTTGGGCTCTTAGAGTGTAGAACCGGGTTCCACCTGTGACAAGGGCAACCGATTCTACTCAATTAAGAGCTTCCCTCTTTTTTATTTATTATTTTTTTTATTTATTTTATTTTATTTTTTTTTATTATTTTTTTTTTTTTGCGTTCACAGATATAGATCAAGTATACTGGAACATAAAGAGGGGAAAATTGTTGGCTTTGATATTCCAGGCCATACTCGCCACATGAGTAAACTGGGGAGAGAGAAAAATCACAACAACAATTTGCAGAAAAATTCACAAAGTGATCATGTATCAACATCACTATATTTGACAAATATAGATCAAGGATGGACCCAGTATCATATTCCATAGAAATTCGAGTTAGTAGTTTTGATATCCCAGACCACACTTGAAGGTGACAAGTGAAACTGGGGAGCGTCAACCCTTAAGGGGCTGAGAAGGTGATTTTGTGCAACAATATCAAAGTGATTAGTGAATGTGGACGTAAGCACAAAACATCCCTACGGCGTATTTACGCACAACCCCTAAGGAGAATCTCATACTTTGCATAACGAACATCACGTGGTAGAGGACAAATCGTCGTGGCCACGGATTGCCGAAAAGTACAAGAAATCCTTTAGAGTCATATCTATACAGAGGAATATTTACAAGTGGCGGGAGATGCCCCTTGCGATGTGCAAGCTCAAGCGTAGTACTTTCGCAAGTACTGCCCATTAATAACAGGCATGGGATGAATACCATTCGCATCAACTAGCAAATAAGATCCACCCTCGTATACTTGCTCTACAACGAATGGGCCTTCCCAAATGGGCTCAAACTTACCACCTCGACGACGGCGCGAGATGATAGGCCTACGCAAGACAAGGACTAACTCACCGACCTGAAAAGCACGAGGTCAGACGAGGCGATCATGTGCTCGGGCCATGCGGGCCTGATACAACTTAAGGTTCTGATGAGCTTGCAAACGGAGCTCTTCTAAACCATCAAGCTCTTCCAACCGTAGTCAGGCATTATCCTCATGAGAAAGATTGTGGCTAATTGCTACACGCAACGAAGGGAGCTCGACCTCAAGTGGGAGGACGGCTTCAACCCCAAAAGCTAAAGTATATGGTGTACACTGAGTAGGAGTACGATATGTAGTCCTATAGGCCCATAATGCTTCAGGTAATTTATCGTGTCATTCTCTTTTATTTGCCACAAGTATCTTTCTTATCAATTGGACTAAGGTCTTATTGAATGCTTCAGCCAAACCATTAGCCCTAGGATAGTAAATCGAGGAATACCGCCAATTTATGTTATGGCGGCGGGCAAACCTAGCAATTTTGGTGCTTCTAAAAGACGGGCCGTTATCCAAAATTATACGGCGCGGAACACCAAAACGGTAAACGACATGATCGCGAAAGAAGCGCATCACATCTTCTGATTTGACTTCTTTAAGCGGGATAGCTTCTGCCCACTTAGAGAAGTAATCAGTAGCAGCCAGAATGAACCTATGACCCTTAGAAGGAGGGTCAATAGAACCAACTACATCCGTGCCCCAACTCTCAAAAGGCCAAGAAGACATAGTGGGGTGCAACGGATTAGGAGGTTGGTGAATAACAGTATTATGGATCTGGCATTAATGGCACCTCCTAGCGTGCTCCATGCAATCACGGATCATAGTCGGCCAATAATAATCAAGGCGTTTAATTCTGACCTTCATCTTAGGTCCGGATTGATGAGCACCACAAAGTCCTTCATGTACCTCGCCCATGACCTTACGAGCCTCCTCGTTGTTGAGGCAACGCAATCATATCTGGTCAAAAGAGCGTCGGTACAGGGTTTCGTTCACATAGGAGAAGGACAAAGCTCTCTTCCTAATCTGAGCGGCAAGAGAGCGATCATCCAGAAGCTTACCACGCTTAAGGTACTCAACAAAGGGGACTCTCCAATCTGACTCTTCCTCAACAGCGAATACTGCGAGGGTCTGATCGGAAGAAGACAAGTTCGCGGGACACAAGGCTTGTCGGTACTGGACAACTATCGACACCGGATTTCTAGTAGGGTCAGCCAACTCCTTAGCAAGTTTAGCTAGTGCATCCCATCTGCCATTCTCAGATCGAGGGACTCTAACTAAAGTTACTTCAGGGATCAAACACAGGAGCTCCATTGTCCTATCGTGGTAAGGCAAAAGCTCAGGTTTGAGAACGTTGAAAATTTCAGCCACTTGATTAATAATTAATTGAGAATCTCCGAAAATTTTCACCCGCATGATACTCATCTGAATGGCTAACTCAAGTCCTACAATCAAGGCTTCGTACTCAGTTTCATTATTAGTACGAGATTCTGAAAGATTATAAGAGTAACGAAAGGTGTGGCCTTCAGGAGACACAAAAATAAGCCCCAAACCTACCCTAACAATAGGAGTTTCGTAAGGACGTAGTGATTTGATGGAAGAGGCTCCATCAAAGTAAAACTCCCAAGTAGGGGACTCCTGCTCTTCCACACTCATGACTAATTCATCGGGCAAATCATCATTAAGTGAGGAATCTGCAGGGATATGGTGAGAGGCAAGAAAGTCAGCTAGAGCCTGTCCTTTGACGGCCCGCTGAGGGACAAAGGTGATGTCAAACTACAGTAAAATCATGGACCAACGTGCTAAACGACCTGACAAAGTCGGACGGGTCATCAGGTACTGCAAAGGGTTGACTCGAGAAATCAAACTGATCTTGTGTGAGAGCATATAGTGTCTAAGCTTCTGCACAGCAAAGATCAGAGCCAAACACTGCTTTTCCATTGCCGGGTATTTTAGCTCCGCAGGAATCAAACGTCTGCTAAGGTAATACAATGCATTCTCTTTGCCTTCCTCATTCTCTTGAGCTAAAAGTGCACCAAGTGACTCATCCAAGGCAGTAGTGTAAAGAATCAACGGTTTACCAGGGATGGGTACAGCTAACACAGGAGGATTTGTCAGGTAGCGCTTTATGCTCTCAAAGGCCTCCTGACAATTCTTATCCCAATAAAAACGGGCATCCTTCTTCGCTAGAGCAGCAAAGGGATGACATCTACCGGCAAGATTGGAGATAAATCTCCGCAAGAAAGCAAGCTTACCCTGAAAAGACCTCAACTGGGTAAGACTCCTAGGGGGTTTCAAGTCCACTATAGCCTTGATCATGGAAGGATCAATCTCAATGCCACGGTAGCGAACAATGAAACCAAGAAACTTCCCCGCGGTAACTCCAAATGCACACTTTAGGGGATTCATCTTCAAATCATGCTTTCTTAAGCGCTCAAAAATGATTCGTAGGTCTCAGAGGTGATCACTACGGACCTTGCTTTTGACCACTAAATCATCCACATAGCATTCAACCTGCTCATGAATCAACTCATCAAAAATGATAGTCATGGCACGCTGATAGGTGGCCCCGGCATTCTTGAGGCCAAAGGGCATCACCTTGTAACAAAACACACCTATAGGGGTGCGAAAGGCAGTGAATTTCTCATCTTCAGGGGCCATCTTAATCTGATTGTAACCAGATGAACCATCCATGAAGGAGAAAATGCTATGGGACGAAGCAATATCAACCATGAGTTCAGGGATAGGAAGAGAGAAATCGTCCTTAGGACATGCCTTATTCAAATCACAGAAGTCTATACAGACACGGATCTGACCATTCTTCTTCTGGACTAGAACAACATTGGCAAACCAAGTGAGATACTTCTCTTCACGAACAAAACCAGCTTCTATAAGCTTCTTAGTCTCGGCTATCACCTGTTGTTCAATCTCTAACCTCATTCGACGAGGTGACTGCTTAACAGGGACTGCATCGGGACTAATAGCTAACTTATGAACCGCTACTTCTGGATCTAAACCGGGCATCTCTGTATAGT